CAGAACATACCCCTACCCCGAGGGAGTAGAGAGGTTGTTTCCGAAAGACTCTCGACTAAAGAAAATGAAAAGAGACAATATCAGTATCACCAATAGAAACCAAATAAAAAATAATATCATGGAAATGAGAAAGTAGATGCAAAGCAAATGCGATAAACAGTACATAGACCCAACACTATAGTAAACAAAGGAGTAGTAAGACACAACATTTTCACTAGATGACACCAACAAAAACCCTACCAGACTAGCATCACAAAGGTACGAAGTAAGGGAGACTCAACTACTTCCTAACCTACAACCCTAATACTCGATCTCCACAACTTCTTATCAAGAGCCATGTCCTCGGAAATCAGAAGCCTCGCCATGTCTTGCCTAATCACCTCTCCCCAATACTTTTTAGGCCGTCCTATACCTCTTCTCGTGCCCTTCAAAGCCAGCTGTTCACACCTCCTTACCGGAGCATCTAGGCTTCTCCTTTGTACGTGTACGAACCATCTGAGCCCCGCTTCCTGCATCTTGTCATCAATGGGAGCCACGCCCACCTTCTCCCGAATATCTTCATTCCTAATCTTATCCATCCTAGTGTGACGGCACATCCACCTCAACATCCTCATTTCTGCTACTTTCATCTTCTGGATATGTTAGTTCTTAACAGACCAAAACTCAATCCTATACATTATGGCCGGTCTAACCACCACTTTGTAAAACTTACCTTTGAGTATCAGTGGCACTCTCTTATCACACAAGACTCCAGATGCTAACCTCCACTTCATCCACCCCACCTCAATACGGTGTGTGACATCTTCGTCAATCTCACCTCCCCTCTGGATAACTGATCCATGGTACTTAAAATTGCCTCTACTTGGTATGACCTGTGATTCAAGCCTCACTTCTACGCCCACTTCCCTCGGTTCAGTGCTTAACTTACACTCCAGATTCGTCCTGCTCAGCTTGAAACCCTTAGATTCAAGGGCCTTTCTCCAGACCTCCGACCTCTCGTTAACACTGGTTCGCGACTCATCAATCAAAACTATGTCATCGACGAATAACATATACCATGGCACCTCCTCTTGAATATGGTGTGTTAACGCGTCCATCACCAGGGCAAATAAGAACGGGCTGAGTGCAGAACCTTAGTGTAACCCCATAACAACTGAAGACTGCTCAGAGTCGCCTCCTACCGTCTTAACCCGAGTCTTAGGACGGGTTAGGAACCTTGGGCAAAGTATTCATGTTAAGTTACCTAAAAAATTTCTCAATCTCACTGCTTCTCCAAATAAGTATTCAAGTAATGAAATCATTATCAAGAAAATATTACAAAAACATTAATAAGGCCGATAAGAAGTAGCAATAGTAAAACTATGTCCAAATAGAAAGTATTCTGACAGTAACTTAGTAATTAGTATTGAATATACGAGATAATATCTAATGGATAGGGTATTGGACTTATTACTACTATTTGACATGGATAATGGAGTAAATATAAAATATAAAAAATTCGAATTTTCGGATATCCAAAAATATGAAGTAATAAATTCAATATCCAATCCGAAATTAAAAAAACTTAAAAATTAAATCTGAAATCCAATCCGTAATCCAAAAATTCAAACCAAAATTTCAAAAAGTTCAAATTCCAGTTTGAATTTCGGGTTTACCCAAATTATGCTCACCCATGTAATCCCACCCTAAAAGAAAAGTAAAAATGAGAGGGATTATATTATATTACAGATTAAAATGGAAAGAAAAAATAGATATTGTATACACAGGTGGGACCAGCCAATCACAACATGAGTTGGCCACGTGAATTGGGAGGCGGAACAGATGCGTAAGTAAACATTTTTTATCACGTGAGTTTCCCCCAATTCACGGGCTACACGACACGTTTGAAGTACGCGCTTGTTTTCTTATTGCAAAAAGAAAAAGATAGAGGTTGGTCATATTAATTACGTACCGAATAGTATTAATAAATAATCCTCCGACCGTCCTAAGAAAACACTATTGTTAACTGATCCCTATACTGATACCTTAAGCAAAGAATGTGTGCAACACCCAACACGGCAGCTAAAGAAGCTTCTTCAACTCTACAATTATATTCATTCAATTCAATAAAATATAATTCACCATTAAAACTAATGGTATTATTAAAGTAAACTAATGATTGAAGCTTCTTCTGGTACATTGGATATTTCTCTATTGTTATCTGTAAATATATCTAATCGTTGTTTCATTTGCTTGATATAATTGCCTATGTACCTTTAACCTTGTGGTTTCCGTATTTACTATGACACGTTAATGAGCAATGGAAACCTTAATCATTGTTCTATAATCGGATAAGAGTTTGTAAAAAAAGGTAAAGAACAGCTAAAGAATAAATAAGGTAGCTAGCGATAAAAGGAAATATATAGGATGAAACTTTTATTATTGTTATTATTATTATTATTACTATTACTATTACTATTACTATTATTATTATTATTATTATTATTATTATTATTATTATTATTATTATAACAGACTAACTAAAACTGTAATTGAATAACCAATTGAGAAGGTAAGGTGTGGGAATTTTATTAATGGCACTCGATTGGAATCGTATGAGTCTGTTGGTATGTCCAAACTATTGAATCCCTAACTCACAAGCAGGGACGAATCTATTAAAGGGACCACCCTTTAGAATTATATAAGAACAATCTTTATCGGTGAATCTTTTTCACGTTGTTTCAAATTTGAACAACATTGAGCAAATTTTTGGTTTCGCCCGGGGACGAATCCAGTGTATTCGTTACGAGTTCCTGTAAGCCCAATAATTTTTGTTCATATCTTGTATTTGTATTAAAAAATTTATTAAATATATAAAAATATCTAGTATGAAACTCAATCATCAATTCAGTTATTATTGTATATTAACTTGAGATTTTAATAGGAACAATAAAATTAAAATTCTGAATCGGTGGTGTCTCTGTTGGCCACTACTCACAAGCACTAAAAGTCTAGAACTATTGTAGGAATACTACTTTAATTTGTCGTTTTCTGAAGAAGCACGTGATTTGCAGTGTCAAACTCAGGTGTCCCACCGTTTTTGTACAAAATTTGTGACTTTGGCTGCTGCGCGCTTTTCCTTGTGCCTGTTTGGATTTATCCTATTCTCTGTTCACGTACTATCGTTTTCCCAAAGGATGAGGAATTCATTGAATAAAAGATAGATGAATAAAAATTCATGGGTCAAGGAGTGGTTCTAAAATGTTATACTCCTTTTCGGTGTAATTTTTCTGATAGAGATTGTAAATGTTGATAGGATAAATAAAACTGAATGACCTTATCGTACCTTCAATTCATGTTTGCATAAAATAACAAGAAGTTTTGAGTTGATATGGGGATTTCTTTATTTTGTCCACTGAATTCACAATCTTCAGCATTGCATCTTTTCGTACTATCTTAAATCTTCATGCAGACAAACAAGTCGGAGTTGGGATCACATGATTTGTTCTTATCTAGTCTTACACAATACATACATACACAAATCTAAACGGTGAAAGCAGAAAATATGCTATATTAAGTAATTGCATAAGGAGTGTCACGTGGAGTCGAAAACAGAGGATAGTTAAAATCGAAGATAATTATTCTATTTATTACCGGAAAGATTGATGCTCATAAAGATAAAATAAATGCCTACCACCCGATATCATTTAATAAAGAATATTTTACAGTATTTAGTACACTGTCCGTTATAAAGAATTTGTCATTCATGCCCGCCGTTATACATTTTTCAATGGCCCTCATAATTGACATTAAGGAAGGACTTGATCCTAGGACCTTGTTCTCTAAGTGCAAATATAAATAGTAAACTCTATTATCATTGTAAAGGACATGAATTTTCTGGCCAATTTACGCTATAATCTATTCAAAGCTTAATACAATTTTATCTTCTTGCTTTTTTATTTCATTGATATTGTGTCCGGAAGCCCTGCTCCAGGAACTACTGTTTCTGCTATTTCATCTTCAGCTCAAGGCTAAGTATTGCATATTTATTCAATTCTTCTATTATTTCAGGATCAAATTATTTCATTTGTCTAGAAATCACGTATAAATTCAACCGTACCGTTTTACGGGCAAACAATTTGATGCCCACCATAGGGCCTAGACAGTCATGTAATTAAGTTAGTCCTTGCCTCTTTTACTAACGGGTTTTGATTATTTGTTCTTAGCAAAGGCATATAATGGTGTCACTACTAGAAATACAGACTTCTCCCACAGAAAAATCGATGGAAAATTTGTGTAAAATTTCAATATTCCCACGACATTCCAAGGGGAGACGCTCGGTGGAAAAATAGTTGGTGGGAAAATAGTTTCCCACGACATTCGTGGGTAATTCCTGGCGAGTTTCCCACTGAGGGTTTGGTGGGGTCACCTAGTGTAATTTCCCACGAATGTCGTGGAAAAAGTAAGAAAATAAAATAATTTAATTTTCTTAATTTTTTCACCGAATCCGTGGGAAGTATTAAAAATAATTTAGATATTTTTTTTACTTTACCCATGGAAGCAGTGGAAAATATTCATAACCTGGATATAAACATATGAACATTCCCACGAACATCAGTGGGAAATATTGAAATTCTGGGAAAAAATGCACAAAATTCCCACGGAGTCGGTGGGAAATCCGTGGGAAATCTAGAAAATATTTTCATGGCCAAATCTATTTTTAGAACTACACCACCTGCCAAACAGAAAGTACAACCAACAATACAAGACTAAATACAATTAAGTATTCAAATATCAAATTCAACATGCAATCCAATTCATTTCATAAACAACAACTAATCAATCCATTTCATAATTAATCCAACTAATCCAAAAGTAGAACAAAAACTCAAAAAATCCAACATTCAATATTCAACATCCAAGTATCATCTAAGACAAGCTAATAAAAGAAATTACTCCTTAGTTATCATCAGATGCTGGAGAACGGGGCACAGAAAATGCACCAGATGCTAAGATGGAGTTTATCTGAGACTTGAGACTTTAACATCACTAGTGACAAGTCTTAATGCATCGTCCTTTCGCCCCATTTCTTCCTCCCTTCGCCTTTCCTCTTCTTCCCTTCGCCTATCTTCTTCCTCCCTTCGCTTTGCCTTTTCTTCCCTTGCAGCCCTTTCTTGAAGATACAACTCTGTAATCTTCGCTACCTTCCTATTCAATTGCTCAAACTCATCCAGATCAACCGAGCAATGTGACGAAGAATAAGAACCAGACAATCCAGAAGTACGACGACCGAGACTAAACTCTTATCCAAGGCCGTAGACTCTCCCCTTATGCACGCTTCCAGCTGCCTTAATCCACATGTCCGTGATCTCCTCTTAAGTTGGTTGGATTGGCCTACCTTGATCATCAATCGACCGGCTTTAAATGAACTCCTCCAAGATTCGTTTGAAATTATCCTGTAAAACAATTACAATTATTATAAAAATAAATTTTATTAAAGAAAATTTATACAAGTAAGTATCTTTATTTCTCAAACTTTAAAGTGAAACACATGAAAAGATAAAAAGCGTAGCAGCCTAGCTGGACTTAATCACTTTAAAGTATCTTTATTTCTCAAACTGGTATAGAAGAAGAAAGTTAAAAACAGAATGTAATGTAATAAAATTTAGATAAACTAAGAGGAACTAAAAGGAAAATTGCTAGCTATAACAATTGAACCATCTGTTCTCCAAAATTTTGGTAATTATGCTGCAGCATACTGTCAAAAATATCAATAATAGGCTTTTCTTGAAACATTAATTGTCTCTCCAGATTTCAATAGATCCTCTTCCCAACATCTTTATATAAAACATTTCCCTTTGCCACTCTTATCAAATAAAAGCTTATCTAATCAATCCTATACTATATTTTGTTGCTTTTGATATTTAGGGCAAATAAATATGCACACAATATTCAAAGCGATGCAGTAGAATGATATACCCAGAAATCACGATCCTGTTAACGCAATAAATTTGACAATGAGCAATTAGACTGTCTAAAAAGTTAAGTACTTGGATTAGAAAAGTAATTTTCGTTTTTTGAGTGTTTCCTATATGGTTTCTGTAATATGGCCATTATTTTGTCAAATGGAGTCCATCTCACATAAGCATAAGCATCTTTGCAAAGTGTAGACTTTGTTGGCAATATTCTTTGGGACCCAAAAATATTGCATTGTGTGTTGGACATCATTTGCACAAGTTGTATCTCTTCTTTTACACCTAAGAGGTCAAGACTTTTTTGCCTATAAAAGGGAAGGCCATTAGTTCATTTTAGACACACCAACAATACTTGTCTTCAATTCTTGTTTCATCCTTTCTTCCTTTATTAAGAGTGTTTTGTATGAGAGTTAAGTGTTGGGAAGCACTTGTGTGAACCCTTTCTTTGGAGTGATCTTGTGAGGTTATTCTCTTAGGGTATTTGGGATTAATTAGAGTGTTTACTCTAATTTTGTACTCTCTTTTGTACTCTTATTATTATAGTAAATTGCTCCTCTCCGCTTGTGGACGTAGGTCACTTTGACCGAACCACGTTAAATTTATATCTTCTTTATCTACTTTAATTGTCGTTGTTATTAACTTCCATTGTCTTTGTTATTGTCATTATACCGTTGTTTGGCTATATTCCGTACTACCCGGGTTCCCGATCCTAACAGTTTCTTTGAGAAGAATCCAATTACACAAACATCTAACACATCAGATTCTCACCATGTCATATCAAGGATTAATTCAGTTACTCAGATGTGGCCTCATGAAGATAAACCAAGGCAACTTTACATTGTCTTGATCATGTAAATTCACATTGTTATAATTCAAAAACACATCAAGAGCAAGAAAGAGAAGAAGAAATGTAATATGACAAATACATGTCAATTTTAATGCTATGTTTACTGTTTTTGTAGTAACAGAGGTTTTACTGTATGACAAGTGGTAAAACTCAAGAAATTTCATGCAATTTTTGTTTTTTATTGAATGAATGATATTAGTACTATAATCCCAACCAAGACTCAATATAATGACATTGACAACCTTTATAACCATCCATCTCTTCATGTTTGGCAGCTAACAAATTTACTATGTGAACCCACGAAAGAAAGCTGCTTAAAATGTGCATGATTGATCCTCTTAATTTGATCAGTGTTTTGCTGCTATTTAGGAGTGTTCCTTATCGAGAATTAGCTCTCTATATGGGAATATAACTGCTGGTCAAGGGAAAATTCACAAGGCATTGAGATGTAGAGAACCTGGTTTTAAAACTGGCATGTATACATGGAAATCACTTAACACTTTTTGACGCTTATGACAAGAGAAGAAGTTGTTAATTTATTATGCTTAATGTTAATAAGAGAGCGATATTGTTAATTCATATATGTGAAGAATGTTGTTAATCTTACATGGGTTGTCTCAGCGCGCGGCTCGATCCAAGTCGTTTTTATTCCATCCTTCAACTTCTTCATGTGAGTTTCCTCAAACACCTCATCATGAGTAACTGGTCTTCCTTTAGCCTTTTCCTGCAAAAATAAATAATATGTTAAAAAATTATAACTAAAATAGTTATAAATCAAGAAAAATATAATAAACACATTACCAATCTTCTTCGATGAGCCGCCATACTAATTGAGCTGCCCGTGTGCACCGAGCCACCCTTGTTGGACAAACAGGCTACCCTTCCCTGTTCGCTCTTCTTCTCAAATTTTGGAGAGTTCCAATACTCAAGAAGTTTAACCCATATATCATCAAGAATTCAACTTGGCCTCTTTTTACTTTCTCGAGTAGTCTGAAGCATATCAGACAACCTATCAGAACATTTCTTAAAGAAAACGACTCGTACCTCAGCTTTAAAATCGCGTGACAATGCACACTTCATCTGCAAATAAAAACATGTTAGAATTACTATAGCGAGTTGAAAACTAAAGCAAAAGATTAATTTTACCCTAAATTCAGCAAACATTCTGTCCCTAATGTGACTTGGAACATCTGACCAAAACCTCCATGGTGCGTGATAAAATGAACACATCGATTCAACCACGACTTTCGTAGCCTGAGAAGGATAAAAGCTGCATTGAATTTAAAACAAGTTAGAAACTATATTTAGAATTAATTATAAATTAAAATATGAATATGTACCCTGCTCCATCGGGCACAATAATCAACCTCCGAAGATCATCATATTTTCCAATATTTGGAGGATCCTGCCTTCGTATAGAAGTCTGTGTAGGAGGCTGTGTAGCTGTATCACTATCAGTATATGGGGATGTCGAATTACCATCGACTCCATTATCTGGCCTAGAAATGCTGGGAGATGAAGACGGAGTGAATTCAAACGAAGGCATGAAAGAGTGGCTAGCAGGTTGACTAAATGATGAAGACATGCCAGAGGAAGATGATGAATGGATGATTGGAGAAAATGATGATCGGATGCCAAAAGAAGATGATGAAGGAATGGCTGGAGAAGATGATGATGGCATGACAGGGCAAGATGATGAGGGTATGCCCGAAAATGGAGTGAATTTAGACGAAGGCATGGAAAAGTTCCTAGCAGGTTGACTAAATGATGAGGGCATTCCACAGGAAGATGATGAATGAATGATTGGAGAAGCTGGTGATTGAATGGCAGGTGAATCAAGATAGGGTATACAGAAGAAAGAGAAAGATAAAGTATTAGACTATACTATATTTTACAGGATGGGCTTTTAAACTTCATGGGCAATCTATTTTTTTCTTTTCTTTTTTCTTTTTTAGAAAAGCTATCTACTTCTAGAAATATTGACGAATCATCAACGATCAATTTTTCAGATGTTGTTGCTTTAGGAATAACCATCCAATTAGTTGAAAACGTATGTGGTCAATTTTGAGAAGAGGTAGTTAATACAGTAGATAAAATTCAAAGTTCGAAGCATAATTTTACCAGTTTATATTCCACCAGCTATGAACTATAAAAATTTAATAACTTCAAAGACAAAATTAAAAAAATTGCAAAAGAGGGCAACTTGATTCGCTTCACATTAAGTTTTTTAACCCTAGGGTTTGAAATAGTATAAAATCCCTAAGTTTCAAAGTACTCTGGGGGAAATCAAAAACGAAAAAGGAGAGGGTCACTGAGTGAGAGAGAGAGAGAGAGAGGGGGAGGGGGGAGGGAGGGGTCGAATTACCTGAAAATGGAGTGAAGAGAGAGAGAGAGAGAGTGTGACGGAGGGAGGCATCGTGGAGTGGAAGATACAGAGGCGAAAATTCAGAGGCGTCTGTAGAATAGAATGAGAAAAAACTTAAGGTTATGTGAATAATAAAAAACTTTCCCACTGCTACCCTGGAAAATCTCTGTGGGAAATATTTTTCATAATTATAAGAAAAATTTAAAAATTTAAAAATTTAAAAATATCCGTTCACACTGAGTCTATGGGAATATGTAAAAATATTTTTTATTTATTGTTTAAGTTCCCATTGTCTTCACTGGAAATTATTTTCAGTTTTATATAATTTTTTTTTAATAATTTTTCCCACAGAATTAGAAGAAACTAAGTTACGCGTATTTTTGCGCCAAAACGTTCCCACGGATAGTCACTAACAAATGTTATTATTTTTCTAGGAAAAGAAATTTTAATTTTTCCATTGTATTTCGGTGGGAATTGCCAATGAAAATTTTTTCATTTGAAATTTCTGTGGGGAAATGATGTGTTTCTTGTAGTGTGTTAACAACATACACAATCCTGAGGTCCAAAAAAATCAGCCTCCGCATGAAGATTCAATCAGTGATATCTGCAATAAGGGGAACGATGCCACGCCGGTCCACGACAGACGCTACCCGCCACATGTTCGGGAGGCGACTCCCGATGATGATGAAGAAGAACATGTTGTTGAAGCGGTAAGGGTTCTACAGGAGCAACAAGAGGTCATTCTTGGCCATATCACACGGAAGAATAAGGTTATGACAGACTAAAGCAAATGTTATCGGTTGCTTTCAATAACGCGAACGGACGAGGTCCATATGCTCCCGGTGTTCCTGCAAATCAAATAATGCAGAGGGTCGACAAAAACACCCCGAGGGGCGAGGTCAGCTTTGATATGGCTGGGGGGAACGGATCAGTTTACAACAACGAGAGAGATCCCTTCAAAAGCAAACTCTTACGGTTTATTAGGGAAGTGAACGCCCGCATGGACCAAATCTCGGGTGCACCACCAGTGCTGAGAGGACCGAACTAAAAGAAGTATACCTAACTGCTATACAAACCGATCGTGACACAAGAATTGATCCCTAAGCGGCTTACAATGCCTACGTGCCAAAATATGATGGGAATTCAGACCCTCAGAAGCATATTACCACCTATACAACGGCGGTGAAGGGGAAAGATTTAGCTCCCCACGAGATCGAATCAATTTTGCTAAAGAAATTTGGAGAGACTCTCATGAGGGTAGCCTTGACGTGGTATCCATTGTTGCCCGAGCATTCCATAAATTCCTTTGAGATACTCACAGATTCTTTTATTAAGGCCCATGCCGGGCCAAAAAGGTACAGGCCCGAAAGGCCGACATATTCAGAATTGCACAAAGAGAGTCCGAGTTACTGCGGGAATTTGTCACCCGGTTCTAGGAGGAAAGAATATTGATCCTGGGTGTTCCAGATGAATGGGAGGTTGAAGCATTCACCAAGGGTTTGAATCTGAGAAGTTCTGATGCTTCCCAGAAATTGAATGAAAGTTTGCTCGAGTTCCAAGCGACGACTTAGGCGGATGTTCACAACTGGTACAAGTCCAAGATAAGTATTGATGATGATCAACTTGGCTTCCCAGCGTCGGTTAAAGGTCGGTAGAAGATTAAAGAGAAATCAAAAGACGATTTCGACACAGATAGACGATCTTCGAGGGACTGGTTTTTGCCTTATGAACGGGCCGAAGGACACGACAGAGGTTTCGCTACGGTAGACAGGTTCGCTACTGATTGAAGAACTGATCGCGGCCGAAATAATAGATCGCTACAGGACAAGGAAGCATCAGGTTCTCGAGATCCTTCCTATCCCAGACTTTCAGAATACAACTTCAACGTCAGTGTAGTAGAGTTGGTATTGGCTATAAGGAACATTAAAGAAGTACGGTTCCTGAAGCCGATGAGGTTCGATCCCAGCCTGAGCGATCCAAATTTGTGGTGCGAATACCACGGGACGAACGGCCACCGAACTGGGGACTGGCGACATTTGCACAAAGAAGTGGCGACACTACTGAAAAATGGCCATCTCAGGAAATTCTTAAGTAACCGGGACAAAAATAATTGCGGTCGCAACCGTGATAACATGGAGCCCTCAAAAGTAGGAGAAAACCTCCTCGCCCAGATAACTAATATAATTTTTGGGGGGAACGAGATTAACGGGGTTATCTTCTCGGCAGCAAAAAAGACGAAGGTAACAGTAACCCACGTCAAGAGGCTTCGGGAAGTCGTTGAGGACGACATCACTTTTACGGAGGAAGACGCAGACGGATTATTGCTACCACACAACAACGCATTGGTAATTTCTTTAAATGTATTAAATTTTAAAATCAAACATGTTCTGGTGGATTCAGGAAGTTCGGCCAATATTATACAATTGAGGGTATTGGAGCAAGCCAAACTTACCAGAAGCATAATTTCGGCCACAAAACTCCTCGCCATGTTCAACCTCGCAAGCGTGACAACCCAAGTAGAGACCCTACTACCCACAAATCCCGAAAGGGTGATGAAGACGACCCTTTTCGAGATTGTGGACGGTAATATGGGTTACAATATTATTCTGGGAAGACTGTGGTTGCACGAGATGAAAGCCGTACCATCAACGTATCATTAGTTGCTGAAATTCCCAACTCCCGAGGGGATTAAACAGATAAAAGGCAACCAACCGGCGACAAGGGAGATGAATGCAATTTCAGTCTCCAATAGCAAAGGGAAGGAGCATGCGACATAGCAATTACAGGAACCGACACCTGCTCCCAAATCAAGTGAAGTCAACCAGGGGGAAGAAGCATCGGAATCTTATCAAGTGCCAAGATATTTTCAGGTACCAGAAGAGACGGATGCAACGAAGTCCACAACGGAAGAGCTTGAGCAAGTCGCATTGTTTGAAAAGTTCCCGGAGAGGAAATTCCACTTGGGGACAGGACTACACCCGGAGCTGAGGTCTGGATTTATTGAATTTCTTAAGTTTAATGCCGATTGCTTTGCGTGGTCGTATGCGGATATGACAGGTATCCCAACGAAAGTGATCGTACACAAGCTAAGCTTAGATCCTTACATTCCTCTGGTAAGACAAAAGAAACTACCTATTGCCGAGGACAGAAATAAATTCGTCAAAGAAGAGGTAACTCGCTTACTTGATATCGGTTCGATCCGAGAGGAAAAGTATCCAGACTGGCTAGATAACGTAGTAGTAATTCTTAAGAAGAACAATAAATTTTACATGTGCTTAGACTATAGGGACTTGAATAAGGCGTGCCCAAAGGACTCGTTCCCGCTGCCAAACATCGATCAAATGATTGATGCAACAGCGAGGCACGAGTTAATGAGTTTCCTCAATGCTTACTCCGGGTACAACCAAATTAAGATGAACCTGGAGGATCAGGAAAAGACTTTGTTCATAATGAATTTCGGCATATATTGCTATAATGTGATGCCCTTAGGGCTAAAGAACGCCGGCTCGTTAACAAGATGTTTGAAAAACAGATAGGGAAAACCATGGAATTTATATAGACGATATGCTTGTTAAGTGTTTGAACGCATGTGACCATCTTAAGCACTTGCAAAAAACTTTTGACATCCTAAGGAAGCATAACATGAAGCTTAATCCCCAGAAGTACTCATTTAGGGTCAGCTCCGACAAATTCCTAGGATTTCTGGTATCACAAAGGGGATTGAGGTAAACCCCGATAAAATCAAATCCATCGAAGACATCCCGGACCAGCTATCAAGCATAAAAGAGGTTCAAAGGCTCACTGGGAGATTGGTTGCTTTGAGCAGGTTCATTTTCTGGTCATCAAAGAAATGCCATCATTTCTTCGCGCTACTCAAAAAGAAGAAAAACTTCGAGTGGAACATGGAATGCCAGGAGGCTTTAAGGGATTTGAAAAGATACTTGTCAAGCCTTCCGTTACTGTCAAAGCGGGAGAAAGGTGAAAAATTGTTAATCTACCTAGCAATCTCGGAGGTAGCGGTAAGCGCCGTTTTAGTCTGTGAGGATGAAGGTACACAATTTTCCATTTATTACGTTAGTAGAATTTTAACGGGAACAGAAACTCGCTACCCGCATTTGGAGAAGTTGGCCTTAGCTCTCGTAGTCGCCGCTCAAAAACTAAGGCCTTACTTCCAATGTCACCCGATAGTTATGGTGGCCACCTTTCCTCTACGGAATATC